ATGCTGCAGAGAGAGGAACATCCTCACTTGCCTAAACATCAGCATAAGACATTTCAGTTCTCAGGATATGGTGAGAAGTCAGAATCGAACTCAGAATGGTCTCAGGCTGAACAAGGAGTCACAGGCCAGAAGAGATGCTGCAATGCTGAGGTACACTCTAGGAAATTGTTTTCTGCAGGGGTCTTCATGGATGGATCCACAGAGTTAAATAAAGGCAAGCTGGGGAACAGAGTTAAATAAAGGCAAGCTGGGGAGCAATCTAGTCCTCACATTAACACTGGAGCTCTGAGCTAGCTCTCTCCATATCCCCAGTCCACATTTACAGCACGTAGGCAAGGCCCTGCATCTCCTCTGGGTCCCATGAGATGTCTCTTAAGTCATACCTGTTATTTTGGGTGGAGGAGTGGTTGGCAGGGCAAAAGGTCAGTCTGAAGCAGAAGCAGGGAAGGAGCTGGGAACAACAGAGTAATGTTTGGGACCACTGCCCTACTGTGTTCCCCTCTCAACTAACAGGGCATATATCCAGCCACACAATGTCATGCAGGGTGCTACATGTCCCCCAGCATCACTGCACCTCTTCTTCTCTTGCACCCCCATGCCAGGCACCCCAGATCCAGGGGACAGCAGCAGCATTGAGTACACAGCACAGGGACAAAGTGGTCCCAAAACGTGAGACTTGCCTGACCTAGTGATCCCAATGTGAACCACCACAACACAACTCATCCAAGACCTTCTCTGCCTTGAAAAAATCCATCCTCGGCGAAGCACCCTGCCTCTACACAGGGGATGCCTGGCAGGGTGCCTAGCGGAGGTATCCGCTCAAACCTGCTGAGCCTGAAGCCACCTGTGCTTCCCAGCTGGAGACTGCTGGGATGCAAGCAGCCAGGGCTGAGGGCTCGTACAGTCTGAGCATCTCCAGTCCCACCAGCTTGGATTAACCACACATTTAAAGTACCCCATTTAGTATCCCAGGATCTAGGCCTCCTGTGGACTTTGGATAACTTATTTTGGCATGGAAACCGGAAGTGATGAAGCTCACACATATTATAAACAATTCAGACTACAGGTGAAACTGTAGTGGACTTGGCTGATTCTAAAGCAATGTATGTGTTCCTTTTCGTACTACTCTTCGCTATCTTTCCTGCTGTTTGAATGTAGCTCCTAAATGAATTGTCCATTGCCCACATGGTTTTAAAATATAATTTATTTTTAGCTAATGTGTTCCTGATAGACAGAACAAAACATGTTAAAAGAATAAAAACAAAATTAAAAAAATCTTCCCCTCCGCAAAAAAAGTTCCCCCCAATATTTATAAAAGAAGGCCAACTTGTTTTCTTCTAGTTTGCCTACTAAATCTCCACAAGGCCATTGATCATAAAAAACCCAAACTGCATAAATTGTAGAAAAGGCAAAGAGGCTGCCTATATTTTTTAAAAAAAGAAAACGTTCCTACCAGCATCTCCCTCAACACGACTACCTTTCCTCTCTCGGTTGTGAGGACTCGTTCTCAGCCCTAGTACACACCTCTTCTCCTGGCTGGCAACGTACAGGCTGAGGAGGCAAGCGTAAGCCACCGTATTATTATTTCAAACAGTCATGTCTTCCTTTTGCATTGGTGCATAGTTAAATCATTATATTTAAACCACTCCATGCTCCTTTTCTTCTGTACTTTTCCCAAGGAACGGTGTTTCTGTTGGATTCCAGGTGACAACCAAGTTACTCGAAGGATTTACTGACTGGGATAAGGACTTGAGAAATAACGAATACGGAATGTCGGCTGTTTGCATCACTGAAATGGCTGCCCATACAGCAATACACCACTGAAGCACATGTAACAATTTATTATTTGGTCCTTCAGCCCTCTTGTATTTAAAATTGAGCATATAGGAAATGCAAAGATTGAGAAAAATTGACCTAGCATCTATCTTTACTTTCTGGGGATATTCTGTACTGGCTGGGCAGTAGCTCCAGCAGTACAGGACCCCAAGCCCAAGGGTTCAGACCCGCTGAACACGGGTTTTACACGTCCACTACTTTACAGGCTTTAAGCAAAGTAAGCTGTGCACTTGCATTCCTTACTGTGCCTTGGGATGGTATGTCTACAAACAGAGGATGTATCACTAGAATAGCTGTATCAGTGTAATTCCATTGGTACAACTATTCCCAAAATAGAACCTTAAACAGAAATCCCTATGACAGGCAAAGTTTACCACTGGCCTATTTATACGACAGCTGTTAGCTTAGTTCAAAAATCAGCGTATAAAATGTTCCTTGTTACTGTAAGTGGACAGTGATGATTATAGCTCAGTCTATGTTATTATTGCCTGATTTTCCCAGTTTGGGTTTTCACATATTGACTCCTTACTCAAGGTCTTTTAACATAGATTTGAAATGTGAATATGTTTTATTTTTCCCCAGTAAATATACAATACACACTTCAACAGTACTATTAACCAACTTTTTTATGCCAATTGAACTTTGCTGCACTAACAATACCAATGAAACACATTAAGAGGTCATACTTTTTCGTGAACAAACTGTAGCTAATAAACAGTTTTTTAAAAAAACAAATTAAAAAAACAATTCTAAGTGCTGCCACAACATCCCTTTTCCTTAAACACATTATTCACAATAAATGTTTTCATTTTTTAAAAAAAAAGAAGAATACTTCTTTTAAAATAGTAAATTAAATGGCATTTTAAAAAATATGTACTGTGGTTCATTGGAAGTACACTGTATAGAAAAGAGAGAAAGAAAAAAAAGAAGAGACATCACCTTTAAGATAATGGAGACACTTTGCGATACACAACACCTTATGTAATATTGTAAGCAAATTATTAATGAACAAAAATGTACAGAAGCAGATGGACAAGTTAGTGAATATCATGGTACTGCACAGCTTTAATACTGACACACATTTACTTTCCAGTGGAATAGATAAAACACGTATTTAAAAGTAATTGGGATGGCTTTATCAACGTCTAATGATACTGAATTTTGAATAGAATATAGTGAGTAAGGTGTTCCACCAAAGCTCAGCACAAGCTTTCGGATTAAAAGAAACAAAAAATCTACAGTGACTGAGTTAAACATTTTCCAGAGAATTAAATTTGAATTTTACCCTGAATAGTCTTTCTTGATATGATAATATCAAAATAAAAACCATACATATCTAAATACGATGACTTCTTTATCTTGCTTGAACATTTTTGCACATTTTTACGTAATGGTTTTAACTATAATGGTTTAACAAGCAGGAAAATTACACATACTCACTGGTCACATATATAAGTAAATGCATACATTTTTTTCTCAACTTTTTTGGTTTGTAACCTGCTAAATAACAGTCTAGACCTTAAGGAAGTCAACTAGCATTTTTTTTCAGTAGTGCTGAGTTATAGTTGATGGCTGTAGTGTTTTATCTTATCATGGAACAAGTTAGTGAAATGGAAAGCAACACATATTTAGCATTGTAATTTACTTTTCTAAAATTCTGCCTTTACTAGAAGTGTTCTTAATACTGGTGAGCTCCAAGGCAATATATAAAACAACATAGACTGGTTATACGAAAAGGGTATTCAAATGGAAACTTGTGTTCAATGTCAGATAACTAACAGAAATAAGCTGTAGGATGCAATATTTAAAATAAGCATCAAATGAGTGGGCTATTCACATACAATATTCTAAGAAAAGTTTGACAATTTACTCGTTCAGATTTGAAAAGTACACAAGATTTGGACAAAGTCATGAAAACTAATGAAGAGACAGGATGCTGTCATTAATGTCCACTTACAGAGTTTGATTTATTCAAGAAGTGTATAAACATGCATTACTTCCTCATCATAGTAGGGTTTGTAGCCACTCACTAAAACACAGATCAAAGATTTTCTTTGCTTATATCCAAATTTTTGGATGTATTGTATTGCCAGAAATGTACTTAATACAAGTCCAAAAATAATTTGACCACTGCTTTCCTTCCAAATACTAAACATTTTACTAGAAATTTAGTGGATCCAGCTTCAGCTCTCACAGACTTCAGGTAACAGAACACAAAGGTTTGTTTAGACTGCATCAAAACAATTAATGTCATGAATTTCAGTGGTGCAGCTCTATCCTCTATTGTACTGTACATGTATTGGAAAGATGAAATACAATACTCTGACGTTTCAATTTTTTGGAAGCAGCCTGAATATGTCTTAATAATAAATTGCATCCTTAACTACTTACTAGGTATTCCTTGAGTTTATATTGTTTGTTTCTCCTGGGAAATCTGTGTCTTATATTTTAGTTTGGAGAAATTAATAGTAATAATTCTTTTAAAACTGCAATATAAAAACTGCTTTAGTGAAACACCTTAAGTTCTTTTGTTTGTAGCAAGGGTTTTTTTTCTCTTCCCCTTTACTTAGTGGCATGGGATGGCTAAAAACAGATACTAAGGGCATTATTCTAGTGAAAGGATCTAAGCCATCTCATGCTACTATTAATTTTCACATCCACCCTTTAATCCCACACTTCCAACTTTTGACCTCTTCTTAAATAGGAAAAGCAACTATGTTGCTTGCTTCGATAAGACTTAAATCTGTCGCTAATGTCTTCACTGACATCAGTTTTGCCTGTCACTTCCTCATTTCTACACCCCAATGGAAAACCATCTAACATACTCCTTTACATCCAGCATTATCCAAAGTAGCTTACAGTACGTAAACCTTCACACATTCAGTCTCTTTTTTTCTTCATGTCATGAGGAGTAGAGTTTTGTGCTTATCACCAAATAAAATTGCAGTGCAAACTTTAAACATAAAAGTTACACAATTAAAAGTTAATATATGGCACCACAGCCTATTAATTCACATATAGTACAACAGACCAATAAAAACAGACATGAATATGAACATAGCTAAAAAGAAGGTGAGCTTGCATAGCAATGCATCAAAAGAAATTATATACAGAAGGAAATCCTTTTCATCCTGGAGGGTGATCTTTTTTTTTTTCTTTCTTTGTTATATACTCCTGACAAGGAATAGTTTAAGGTGGATGGTGTATTAAAGAGAAGAACACAAGTAAAGTATCTGTGGGATATGTGTGGCTGTGTGTCTTTACATTGCATTTACAGTTCTTTTAATAGTACATAAATAAAGAAAATGTTCATTGCACTGTTTAGTGTCATCACTTCCATGAGTTCAGACCTGATGGTCCATCAGAGCAGCTTGCAATGTGTCTTCTCAACTACTCTATAGAGAGAAACAAAGAGAAAGATATTATAATAAGGAGAAAAAAATACAGAAAACAAAGCCTATGGCAATATTACTGCAGCACAGGATGAATATCCATTAGGTTGGGAAAAGAGAGTTAATTGCTTCTAGGCTGAAAAGTGGTGGATGCTAAAATTCAGCATCTGACATAGCACAAGCAGGATTTGTGGATCACCATTAGCTCTCCTACGAGCTACTGGGCAGTAACTATCAGGCGGTACTGAGGGTCTGTATGACTGCTGCAAACAGGAGGCAGACATGTCAACAGCGACATTGCTTGCACTAGTAAATATACCAGTATGCCTGAGCTGGTTGGGATGTTGATGTATGACTTCAAACAACAGAATCAAACCTTTTGGCATATAGTACTACATCACATGCACAGCATTAACATGGTTTTATACAAGGTTTAACAGATAATGAGAGACAATAAAAAAAATGTTTGGAAAATAATTCCCCTGGCCAGGGAAGTTGAGGAAAGAGTTGAGATATACAACTGAAAAAACTGGGCTACACAGCTGAAAAAACAGGACCTCCATCTAAGGTCAAAAAGAGCAGCATACTGCTCACCAAGCAGCACAAAGTTAAGGAGAAGACATCACAAGCTTGCCACCATGCCCAACAAACTCAGCACACTTTTCATTCACACCCCTGAGGAAAACTGCCAATGGCATTTCCAAGACAAACACACTACACTGCCAAAAAAATTCTAAATTACTGGAATTTTTTTTCAATTTTCCCAGTGTTTTGCTAGCATTACACATTGAAAGATGTACTATGTAGGTAACTTTGGCATGGCTCACACAGGTTTGAACTGATGCAAACCAAAGAACAGAATTTCATTTGTTTGTCATCACAGGCAAAACACCTCACAAGGCAAAAAGATCTGGGTAAAATATAATCTGATTCTCACAGACAATTTCCTCCTCTCTTCACAAGACATTTATATTTTTCTCTTTTTGTCTGAGAGTTTGAACTGTAGCTAGAGATAAACTTACATAATTCACCAGTAAACTGTCCTTGACTGTTTGATCCCACATAGCCCACATCGAGAAGGTCACTGGCATTGCGTTGGTGACCTCCTCGCAAGACTTCACCTTTTCTAGGTCCGGTCGATCCTTTTGAAGAAGCTGTTCCTGAAGAGCTGTGGCCGCCAGGGGATGGGAAGTTGGGTTTACTGTATGGTACGAGTGCCTCTTCTAGAAAAGCCAAGCAAAGCAAAACAAAATAAATACCAGATAAATTCCTATAAACAGCTATTTCTATATGGACATCAACTTAATTCCTGCTTTCAGATATGTGTCATTTGTCTTGCTTTTATAGCATGGAAGTTTTACTTAAGAAAATACACAACTCGGTGTTATCACCCATAGACAAAGAAACCAGCATGAACTTAATCTTGCTTTCATGTAAACACATAACTTAACTTGTATTAATTATAAAAAGTCTAGATTCATTATGAAGCATTAGATCAGGGATCATAGATACTTTAATAAAAATAGATGCACATACAATTTCCAAAACAATACAGCTATGATTAGATTTTTGCTTTAAGCCTACATGAATGTGCTTTTCCTTCTTCTTTATCTTAAATTATGGTAACATTACCTCGATCAATTTAGATAAAGAATTACAGTATCAGCTAATTTAATTAGCTTCCAGCAGCTCAGTAATTTCTAACGATGCAAAGTACACTGAAGATTTTTTAAACCGGTTGTGAATTACATTGGAAAATATTCTATTATACATAATACTAGTAGCTGTAATATTTGGGGTGAGTAAATCTTCCTGCAGCTTGTTTCATGTTCCATTATGAGAAAAAGGCTTACTTTTGCTCACTTGGCCTCTTTGTGAAGACCTGTAATAATGAACTGCTTTTGAGCAGAGGATTAATACCAACAAAGCAGAGGACTGTATGTCTTCATACAGCATGAAGTAAAACAAGACATCACATCTGACTAGTTTCCAGGAGATACAGTTGTAATAATCCTAACCTAAGAAATAAAACAGCAGTACCAAAGTAACACCGAAATAGAAGCACTATTTTATTACTTTGCTGTGTATGATCCACTTCTGTCTCAGAACCTGAAGAAAGAGACCTTGCTAAATATAGTTGGGTTCAAGAAAGAGTATGAGGACATGTGCTTAACCTCAAACACAGGAATTGCCCCTTCTGAAATCAGTGGAAATTGATTCAATCCTGCTTGAATCTTACATTTTTTAAAGTGAATCTGGGCTGAAAGCTGGTGGTGGTTTTTTGTTTGATTGTTTTAAATTTTGCTTTTCCTGTTGTCTCCTCTTTTAAACATTCAGATGAGGGGAAACAGACTTTCTTGGACAGAGGGCAGGCACGCAGAAAGAGAAGTAAGTGTGGAAGGTTGGAAAAAAAGAGGAGATAAAAATGCTTTTATTCACAATCCTGAAGCCTTTGCAAAGGCTGCAGCAGAGGCATAATTAACTTAGGGAAGTGCTAAATGAGCACAAATTTGTGGAAAGAATCCAGGATTTCATTCTTTGTGCCTACTGCTGCAAGCGAGTAGGGCATGGGAATTCCCCACGTGACCGGCTATTGAGCAGAACCTGTTTGTAAGGTAAATCTGTTACAGAAGAGGGCAGGCAGCTGACTTCTTCCTCTGCCGACATCTCTCTCTGGCACTGCCCAAGGGACCAGAATATTTGTGCTGCAGGACGTAAGGGCATTATGAGTGTTCTGTGTTATGACCATGTGCTGTCCTTGTTGAAATATAAAGAAATGCTTAAAAGACATAGTAAAATGGCATTTAACAGCCATAGCCTCCTAAATTATGTTACCTGCTCTTCATATATCAAGCCCTAACAATAGAATCAGATGCAAACCTGGTTTCCAAAGGCTGGCTAAAATATGGAACAGCTTGCATTAAGGCAGCAATAAAGCAAGCAGCATAAATCAGTTCAGCAGAAAGCTGGATACATTTTTAAAGGACGGAAAGAAAAGTCACTAGCATTGCAAAAGAGTTTGGAGATGACATATATGGTCAATTGATTTGTTTTTCTAGTTTGTGGACTCAGGATAAGGCCTCCTTCGGGTTCAATGAAATATTGAGAAAAAACGACCATGAATAAATATAAAGTGCATTATCATTATAGAGCATATGGTGTGTTAAATTATCTGTTGTGCCCTCAGAAATAAATGCAATACATAAAATAAGCAATTGTGACATAAAATAAAGGCTAAGTTTCTCACAACATTCTAGCATATGAAAGGTAGTTGCCTCAAGTCCTTAGAATAGGCTCACATTTATTAAACACTTAAAACAGTGCCCTATGACTCAGGCCTGCAAAGAATATGGGATGTCTTTCTCTCAAGCCTTTAATTTGAAACTGTAATTCTAGCCCTCGTGGAATCAGGATATTTGTGTGTAACGATGTTCCTATACCCCATGAGATAACCAGAAGGTGTTTAATATTATCAGAAGTATTGTAACTTGACCTATGACTAATTTCTTTACAGGAGTAGCTGAGAATATCATATCTGATGTGCTGTAACTGTGATTCCACAATGAAGCAATTGGCAGCAACTCAGTGATCTTGTTTATACTGAAAGCAAAGAGCGTAAACATGGTTCCCAGAATTAGGTATTTTTATTCTATTCAACTTCAAACCAAAGGTCTTGCTTCCAAAATTTCACTCACAGTTTGATAATGTCTGCAGGAAGCCTTCTAAGCAGCAAAATAGCTATTTTCTGGAAGCTGATTACTAATAATAACTCTTTTATGAAATATATTGAAAACTGGGACAGAATAGATTTCCAGAGGTCTTTGTCATTAATAAAGGAAAAGGTAAGAAGAAGAATTAATATTACTAAAAGCCCCAAATTTAGTAATTTAAACAAGCAACAGACATAAAAGTAGCCTTTTCCTTAATTCTACCAGAGAAAGCAATACAGAGCAAGAAAACTGTAGTGCAAGAAGCTGGGATGAGAAGGCAGACAGACAGATATGAGGCTCTGGCCCACCTTGTGCACAACCTTTATGAATCCCTCACATCAGGGTAAAACTATTATCTCCTAGAGGAAGCCTTCATCATGCATAAAGAATATGCAATTGCTGTGGTCATCCTGATTTTGACAAGAACAAGATACCTGTAGTCACTCCGGCCCTACATTCAATGCTGGTGTAGGGCACTGGATGTGTCAAGATCAAGTTCTTTTATTTAAGGACAGATCAATGCAAGTCCTGCAGGATGAGAATTTTACTACTGTATACCCTCTGTATCACAGAATAACTGACAATTTCTATTTGTACACTTATGAAGCAAGGGAAAAAGAGAGGAGTTCTTGTTAACCAGGTCAGAGAAGCATCCTTAATAAAAATTAACAAAGAAATGAGATGTATAAATTAATTTTAGCCTATTTTCTAGTGTTAGTACATCTTGTACATTGTAATTAAAACTGCCATTTCACCAAGTAGCATGAATTTCACACACTATTTTTAAACTGCAACTTCACATCCTAATTTCACAACATGAACAACCACTCCTTTATGAAACTGACAGATTAGGGGGTTTTAATGGTACCATTATCATTATATTTTAAAATATGGATTGTATTTAAAATGTTTACATTTTAAATATGAGTATCAATATTTCCTAAGAGGACTTTGTTCAGTAAATCCTGCCCCTGTGACAGGTTTGCCTGCATACTATTATTTTTTTTATTAGAATGTCATTGATATTAGTGTTCTAAATTAACAAGGAGAATTAATAGTAGAATAAAATCAAGAAAAACATGGATAATATGAGTACCTTCAGTGTTACTGTGGGAACTGCATACATACTTAAAAAAAAAAAGAGAGCTCCATGTACACTGTTATTTTTTTTAATCTTCTTAATTGTCCTCTTGTATCACTCTAATCAGCACTGGGATAACATGTGATTAGTGGGTTAAAGAAAATACCCTACTAAGGGGACCTGAAACAGCAGCTTTTACTTGAGGTCAGGCTGAGAGGAGGAATCTGAGCCTATTGTAGAACTACAACTCTGGCTCAGCATCGCCTCCTGCACACATTTTTACAGACTTGAAATCCATTTAGGAGATAAAGTCAGCACTCAGCAATGAGCAGGTCTGGTATAAAGGGGAAAAGCTTCACTGTCATCTTGCTGGGCCTGAGATGGATGTTACTTTGTCATACGCTGGCATAAGGAGAAGACAGTGTCTTAAATACAGCTGGAAGGCAGGTCAGTAGCCCAGAGGGATCAGCCTTCTTGCAGACATGCAAAAACAACTGCTGTCAATTTAGAAGCAGGCTGAAAGAACCAGAAAATACGGCCCTATATGTACAAATAAATACTTCTAACAGAATATAGCCTAAAAATCTGTTTCTCCTTCCCTACCTGTTTGAAACTGTCCCTGTTTTTTCCACTGCTATGCTCGACAACATTATTTACTGCCAAAACACTAAAGAACGCACCGAGTTAGGTGCCAATGGGATTTGATTATTGCAGGAGGGCAAATACTTGGACCACAAGCTCTCATTTCACTTCGCCTTTTCTATTTTCCAGCCTCAGCCTCACCAATTCTGGCACAGAGGGGCGTGAGGTGACCCTCTATTCCTGCCAGATAGAGACCCTCTGCTGAGAAGCGTCAAGAAGCCGTCTGCATTGCCTCGGCTGGTGCAGCGCGCACACACCTGATCCGAAGGCTTGTTTGTGTTGGCCTTTCCTGAAATCCTCTTGGCGGTCTGTAGAGCTTATCCACTCCTGGGTTTGCCGCTGCCACTCTAGTGACGTTCTAGCTTGCCGGTCCAGGGAGCTCTTTGTTTCATCTATGTTCGGTGCATGCTGCCTCTCAAGAGAGCTTCCTTTCCTCTCTGCCGAGCCTCCGCGCTGGCCGGGGACTATCTGCTGCCTTAAACCCTGACCAGGGGGCGGGTCGGGTGGTGGTGGAAGATCTAAAAAACGTGAATAAGATTTAGATGAACTAATATTTTAATTGAAACAGAAGGTCTATTTGATGCTGAAAAGAAAAGTCCCTGGCAACGGGCACGGACCACTTCATTTGCTGATTTTAAAAGGAAGAAATTTCAGGTTAATCAGAAACGTATTTTTCCCTTCTGCTAGTTTTTCACTCGAGTTACTGTGTTGCTCGCCCTTTCTAACTTCTATTAAAATCAATAGACTCTGAGCCCTGACTTAGATTTCTGAGCATGGGATTTATTTTCTGTGGTGTATGTTCCATCTGGCTCTTTCAGTAACACCATGCAACTAAGAAAGGTTATGAAAAACTGGTCTGTGCCAGTTGATAGAGTAATTTCCCCCTATGATTTTGGGCCTTGCTTCATCACCCCTATTTTTGGGCTTCACTTTCAGCTCGAGGCTTAAACTTAAAATCTAAATAAACAACTTTATCAAAATGCATAAAATTGCACAAAATTTTGGGGGAAAATTATTCAGAAAATCTACTGTCATTGAAAAAGCATCAACACACCCATGAAAAGTACATGTTTAAATAGGACCAGCAAACAACAGGTGAGCATTTCATTCAAGCACTGTTTGAAAGTTCAGTCAAGAGCTAGAGACTTCACCGACAAGAGGATGGTCACCCTTAAGTTTAGCAGTCTTGCAGATATAAATAATTAAAAAATAATTTCACCTGAACACTGAAAGACGCTTGTCTGGTCTCTAGCAACTGTAGTCCTTTCCAAGTTTATCACTTGGACCACTAAGATGCTTGCAGAATTGAAGATCTAGCTTCTAATAACATTTGCAGAGGCAAAAGTGCATTTTGTTTATTAGTCCCTGACCCAAGGTAATTATAGAATCTGGATAACTATAATTCTAAATGTAAGATTTTCCAGAAAACTTTACGACAGACTGACAGTAGTCCAGAAAAGCCTCAGATTATTTGGGGGAAAAAAAAATCAGAAAAGGGAAGTGCCTTTATTATTGTAATGAAAACTTTCACATATAAGATACCTGTTTTATATAAGGAACACTTGTTAATTCTGGCTTTCAGCAATGCATAGCGCATATAAATCTGTGCAGACCCACCAACTTCACTAAACCTACGCTGGTTTACACTACATACGGGTCTCTCCCACTTTCCAGTCTTTTGTACCTTATAGTGTTGTCAAGGTTTGTCAAGGAATTTAACCTGACTCAATAAAAGGCACGGAAAAGTAAAGCTTTGCTTTTCTTGCAGGTAAGTCTGATGCTTATAACTCTACTGAAGCTGAAGTTAATTTTATAAATTGGTGAGGAGGCCTGTGGAGTGAATTTATTTCTAATGCTGTAATCCAGCTGTATATAATGCTACACAGGTTTTTTTTTTCATGTCCTTGTTGTTAGAGGTGATACTTTTACGTCGTATGTGGGGCAGAAATGCTTCCAAAGTTGCTGAGATGTCATTCCAGTCAACATTGTCTCTTACAGATAAACGAGGACATGAGGGTTATTCGTGTCTACAAGGGAAAGGAGTTGTATCTGATGCTTCTCCTGTACCACTGTTCACAGCTGAAGTGCTATACCCCAGATTAAGATATCTATCTTCTGGCTAGAACAGCCTTATAATAATCTGTCAGTGAGCTTGGTGTATGCTTTATGTTCAGCACTAATTTATTTGAGAATTTTTTAGTTATGAATATAGATGTGACCTTTCATGACAATGACTATACTTGAGTTACTGTAGGTGGAAGCAGGAGGTTATGGGAGCTTGCCAATGTTAAAATTGCTTTATAGTGTTGGCTTCCAAAATGGCATTTCTTATAATTGATTTTATTGCAATCATAACCAGTTAATGTACAGAACCACAACACTGGCATCTGCTTATGCAATCTGAAATAGAGATTACTGAAGTTCAGATTTATAAGCACTTTATGGAGATGCATTGAATCCAATAAACACTGTCATAACATGACATCTGACAGTGCAATCTTCCAAGATAAAATATTTGCCGTTCAATATAAACAAAATTTTTAGAGTAGTATCATAGCAAAAAAAAAAAGTTTAAATTATTGCAGTACTAAACTTCTTAACATAGAACACTCTTCTTCAGAAATTGCCATCTAATAGTTCCTATTACTTAGATACCGAGAAGGAAAGAAGGTTTGTACTTAAACCATACCGCATGTTCTACAGCTAATTGCAACTCCTGGAATTACTTCAGACTTAATGCAGCTGATCTGTTAACCTGACCCTTGCTTTTCTCCATCCAGAAAATGGGCATAATGATTGTCTGATGCATGTAAGTGAAATGGGAAATCATGTTTGTAAAGTTCTTTGGGTGTTTTAGACCTGTGGATGAATTGAAATAAAAATAAAATTTAGCTTCTGATGAAGCTTCACATGATTCTAGAATTACAGGGACTATGGAATTAATGCAAGCTGGCCCCCACCTGAGCACAGACTTACTGAACTGTGCTTAGATGTGTCTGAGAAGATCTGTAAGAACCGTTACTAATTCCAGCCAACCATCACCTGACTAAACCTTGTGCTTTTTCACCTTCTTACTCAGATTGATTGTCACAGTAACACCTACCTTTCCTTTTTAATAAAAGAAACTGGAAGAGAGCTTCGTTTGGAAATGTGGCTTTTTATTTGCTTTACAATTTAAATCCTGTAGTGAAAATTTGCCTTGGGTAAAGGACTAAATATGGTCTGTTATCTTGCCTGGGCATATATAAAGACCCCCTGCATCTGGAGTCACAAGTTTCCTCCTCCAGTGCCACACAGCAGAGTCTTGCTCCTCCTCTCCTCTCACTTCGCTGCCAAACATGCCTTTATGTTAGTGTGCACGTCTCCACACACACCTGTGAATATGCATATTCTTATGGAGCACCTCTCCTTTGATGAAAGGCTGAGAGAATTGGGCTTCTCCAGCCTGCAGAAGGCTCTGCAGAGACCTTATTGCAGCCTTCCAGTATCTGAAGGGGGCTACAAGGAAGCTGGAGGGGACTTTTCACAAGGGCCTGTAGTGACAGAACAAGGGGTAACGGGTTTAAATTGAAAGCGGGGAGGTTTAGAATGGATATCAGGAAGGAATTCTTCCTGGAGAGGGTGGTTGGACACTGGAACAGGTTGCCCAGAGAAGCTGTGGATGCCCCATCCCTGGATGTCTTCAAGGCCAGGCTGGATGAGGCTTTGAGCAACCTGGTCTAGTTCTAGTGGAGGGTTCCCCTGCCCATGGCAGGGGGGTTGGAACTAGATGGTCTTTAAGGTCCCTTCCTACCCAAACCATTCTATGATTCTATATACCTGATGGTTAATGGTTGGCATTTGGGCTGCTAGTAGAGGGGTAACAGAGACCAGACAAGTTAGTAGTCTCAGTTCTTAATAGGCAGATGCTACCATATAAAAGCAAGCCACCTCATTCCATCATGTTAATCACTTCAGAGAAGTTTTGAATCTAGAAATTTAGGAAGTTCAGCCGGTTTTTCAGTGAGGATACCCAGAGTGGTATCACTGATTATCACTGTACTTCCATCTAAATGACGTGTATCTTGCAGGTGCCCGGTAAAACGCCCACATTGAGCTAGTAACTTACTAGGCCAGTGGGATGTCATCCAGAGTACCACTTGCAGCTTCTAATGGCAGAATTATCCAACTTGCAAGGCAATTTATAAGTGCATTGGTGAGGAGGCGATACTCTTAATGATTTAGTAATGGAGTGATTGTGATTGAGAAGCTGTAGGACATCGGAGGGCCTGATAAGAAGCAGATGGATGTTTGGACTGGGATTAATCCTGCCCTTCTTTAGAAGGCAAAGCATTGGCTAAATGATCCTGGCACCAGTCAAGCTTTGGCACAGCCTCTCATTATTAAGCGGAAAAAGCAGCAAGTTACAGAACCAACAGGTATAAGGATACCCCTTTCTACCTGAGCCAGTGATTTGTTTTCCTAGGGGTGATAACTACTGCAACATTTAATAAGCTTCTGAACCACTTTCTAGCATCAGAAGCTAAGCATGTTCTCTACAGTGATCTACCTCAGCAAAAATTTGTAATACACAATAGCAAGTCAGTAGCAAAACTAATAGAAAACCTAAGTTCCAGTTCTTCTTTCTAACCCCTAACTGTACTTCCCTTCTGCTTTCTCTTTGGGTTTCTTAAACATCATACTGAACTAAGGAAGCGCTTTTAACCTCAGTCATGCAGTTAACATGTCACCAGCTATGTGACAGAGTCCACTGTTTTGCAATTCATTAATACATGGTTTCCAAGAAAACAAGTAATTTTTGAACACTAGAACTAAAAAACTCCCTTTTGTTTTACTATAGTGGACTGTGAGCTCAGAATGAAGGTTTTTCACTCGAGAGATTCGTTAAGGTATTCTTCCTCTCTGGAGTTGCTGTTGTCTCCATGGTCTTTAGGATGGGGAGGCTAAAAATGAAGCTGTACAGGAAGATAAATATGAAGGCTCAATCTAGAGGCAGTCTCCAGAGGATTCTGAAGAAGCAGGTGTTTAGGGGATTTGTACAGAGTGCTGTCAAAAGTAAGGAAGAAGCTGTACCTTCAGTGCTTACATAGCCAGGGATCAGCATGTTACGTGTTGAATATACAGTTCCTTTGGTCTTTTGCACAGTCCCAGGTGGTTACAGTTAACAAGGGGAAGGTGCTCAAGAAGTGTAGCGGAAAGGGCAGAGAAAGGACATGGCTGGAGCTTACTTGGTTAACAAAAATTTAATATGACAGCTATCCAGTATGTGATGAGATTTAAAACATAGGACTCATCCAGCTTGGGAGTTTGAAGATGACTGACAAACCATGTTCTCCTATGACAAATCCAAGAGGGAGCAGTTTTAAGGGACTGGATTGAAGACATCTCAAAACCAGGAGAAAAATGTATAGTGATTCTTGCCACTGAAATTAGGATGGGCTGGGCCTGAAGAGACTGTCCTGGATTAGGGCTCAGAATTGCTGGATCTATCCCAGGTTCTCCTACTTGCTTTCTCTAACCATAGCTTAAGCACAGGGGTATTGTCTCTTTATAAAGTTCACTGCAATATTCCACACAAAGCACAGAGTTACCATTTTTAATTTCTGCATACCAGAGGTTCCTAAACTAAGTTTATTTACATACACACAGGTGGCAGCACCAATCTTCAGCTTCCTTAACCAACAAATATGCTTTTGCAAATATAGCTATGACTCAGACTCGCCATTACACTTTAATGACTCATATTCCGTAAGAGATGAAGTGAAAAAACTGTACAATTTGTGTGTGTTTGTTCCTGTGGTAAGAGAGGATGGGAAAGGATCCTTTATTACTCCAGGACATTATAAATTTTTGGAACATATAGTAAGCACTTTAACTAAGTCTATAACAGAAGAATGTTAAGGTAACAGAGTCCAAAAGCTGTTACGGTTACTGTCTGTGAGAGGTGGATTGTTGAAGGAAATGGTATATCATTGGTATTCTGACTCAAATATATCAAAAACCCCTCCAATAACATTAGTATTTTATAAAGAATAAATAAAAGACAATAGAGGATTTCTCTTTTTAAATGAAATATATCTTAGAATCTGATCTCTTTCACTAATTTAAAACCATGCCAGATTTTATTATGGAGTTACTCCCCAAGGAGTCACACTTCTATCTATTTGATGATCTGGATTCCTGTTAATTTTCTAGTACTCACATTTTTGTTAAATATTTCTACAGCAAGAGTACTCAAAAGCAGGCTTAAGGTCCCACCATACTGAGTACAGTACAAATGCCCACGTACACAGAATTTGTGGTCAAAAAGGCTCATAGTTCAGGGTGACAACATACGCCATGCGCAAGAGTTGACTTGACGTATGCACAAAGAATACTGATAGCACTGCAAGTGACCCACGATTTCCAGTTACTATTCTCAGAGACACATGTATTTAATGGACCTGTGTAGCAGGGAGGCCTCTGGAATATATCCAGAAGGGGAGGGCATTAAAGTTCAACCCAATTCAGATCCATATGAGTGGAGTCTGAGCTACTTTAAGCTGTTTTCCCAATTAATATGGTAGTGAGGATAAGCCATAGAGCATGAGATGCAATGGTAACTCCTTCGGTGAAGACTTTCACTTCTGGAATCTGTTTTCCACCTTTGTGGTCTGGCAAACAAGGACTCTGTCAGATGATACTGCAAAACTGTATCAGTACAACTGATAACATGACTGAGACGAGAACTCTGGTGGTTTTAGTGGTCACACTCCACCTTGTAAGCTGTTACCTCAAGTACTTGTACCTAGAGTAATAAGTAGCATATTACAGATAAACCAAACTAAATATATCGAATCTATTTGATATGTTACCTGTCCAATGAAGATAATGAAGAGAGTTGGGGTTGATGATCTTTATAGGTCCTTTCCAACTCAAGATAGTCTATGATTCTCAAGTAATGTTTGCTAAGATAAGGAGGGCATTTATACTAAAACCTAAAATGTGAGGGGTTTGATATTTTTTTTTTTTAGCCCCTTCCCCATACACTGGAAGATTTATCAAGATGTACTTAAGATTATGAGATAGTACAGGACCACAGGAGTGGTCCAGCTAGTCTTATGAGTGCTACTGATGCAGGTAGGAGAGTCCAGCTCTCAGAATTTCCCTGCTTTGAACACAAAAAAGAGCGGTCAGCATGAAGAAAGTGACCATGTCTCCATCTGCATGGCATTACAGATACCCTTAGTCGTTCCTTTAATGCTGTTTTTCCATTTGCCTGCTTCTCCCCTCTGATCATTTCAACACCTACAGGAGGACAGGCCAGAGATCAGAAGAAATTAAGGGGACATAGCCAGCCAGCCACCTTCCTGTCCAATCCTTCTCAAGGAGTAACGGGCAGAAACTGCATCTTTTGCCAAACTCAAGAGGGGGTACACAAAGATAATGGAAGACTGAGCTGAGTCATTAGAAGAGCAGAACAGACATGCCTGAAATTTCCATATGGGAAGCAATGGTCAGAGAGAAGTGGAGATGTCAAAGAGGGAAACAAAGTCACTGAGGTCAGTGGATGTCAGGAATGAAGCAGCACTGACAAGACATGAGTCAGTCATGAGAAAAGCATGGCACGTACTGCTGTAGCTATTGTGTGGGTATCAAAACCAGCACAAACCAAACAGGCCATTGTGGGACTGGCTCTACACTTCTCCTTAGGAATTCATGGCATAGTGCTACTGCTGGTGGTGGCTACTTTCATTGTATGCAAAATTACCCACAGACCATTTTTTTTAATGCCAACCCAATGTGCAACACAGTCATTTTTGGGTAAGATCTATACTGAGAACTAAGAAAATCTAAGAAATGCTAACATGTTCAGAGCTGAAACAAAGAAGAGCTCCTTGAAGACTCACTTAATCAAACTCCACACCGCTAGCGTTGCAATACTGCTCACGTGGCAACTTGGAAACCCCCCTTCACCAAACAAATATTTCACAGTATATTCCTTAGAAGATTGTGTTACATTCTCCCATTCTGCACACCTGCTTGTTGCAGGCTACCATGAGGGACTTCATCCGACAACACTTACCGTCTGTTATTCCCTCCCTACGATGAGGCAAGGGGGGTTGGTCCAACCGTCCTCCCTTGTGTTTTTTAGTGGGCCTCGGCCTCTGACTCTGATTGACAGCTGCACTGGGGTTGCTGTCAGTAGAAAAAGGACTGCTTGGCCGAGGTCTCTGAGAGGAAGGGTATACTTTGCCTAAAAAAAAGAGAAACCAGATGACAGAATGTTACTGCCTTGAAATAGGCTGTTCTATTAATGTCTGTTCCAAAACATTAAATCTGGTCTAACTCTCAGAGGCAAGCAAGTGTCCCCTTGAGGTAGCACTGATGACAACTGCTTTAAGACACACCGTAAGAAGCAAAGTGAGAAACTTGGCATTCTTTTGTCTTTAACTTTTATAATTAAAATCATTCCATCTGTTGTGATAAAACTACTGTACGCCATGTAACTCCTACCTGCTCTGCGTGCTGAACAGATGTGTCATAACAACTCCTCAGCCTTGAGCAGGGAAGGAAAACAGTTCTGCAGTCGTATCAAATTTATCTTCTCCTGCCTTCTACCTTCATGTTTGCTGAGCCAGATTCTCATTTTGGGGGCTCCCTTATGCACTGTATGTCTGGAGTAACTCCAGTGAGATAATCATAACTGATTTTGCAAGCTATGTAGCAGTGTAGGTTTGTGTAATTAAGAGCTCTCTTTTATCAAGAAATAAAAATGGGGGTATATTTAAATGCTAAAATTTTCCTGTTAATTTTTGATATTTTTATGTGTTAAAAAAATGTATTCTGACTGAATCCCTCAGATTTTTTTTTATACATATACTAATCAATCTAAGTGATTTCTCTTTTAAAAAACATCTTTGATGATGTCCTATGGAGAAGATCATAAAATGCATCACGGCAGGAAACACAGGAGCACAGTCCATTTATTATATTCACTTCCTTTTATTTTGATATTTTAGTTCAGTTAACTAAGCTTATTGTTTAATAATAACTGATGAAAATTAAAGATCACCATCTTTTACTTTCTTTTTTTCATCGGTATGTCATTCTTGCCAAGTATCTAAAGGATGCTAATATTTTAATTCACTTAGAACTGGTACTTAAATTTTTTTCTTGTTTTAGTCCTATCTGTAGTGGAAAATATATAAGCCAGTCAGAACTCCTACTCTTTCAGTGCTACTGTAGGCCCAAATGGTATAAGAATTGATGGAAAGTGGTAATTAAAATGGCTGTTAATTTTCTGATCAACAGAACCCAAGCTAGTAAGGGTTCTAGACTTAGACCAGGGTCTACCCTGTTCTGAGTTATGTTTTCTAGTAGAACTTTTCAACAGATGTGTTTACTTTCAACATGCCATCACACACAACTTCATCTAGATAAGCCTAATCAGGAGTAATTTGCTACCTGCTGCACTACTTGAAATATTCCCAGCGCAAAGAGGGCAAAGCAAAAAAAAGTAGCTATAATCTCTCTAACATGGTGTTTCACATTAATACACACATGTTAGAATAACACCTTAGTATTTGACTTCAGTGATTTACTGTCTCAGGCTTGATCTGACTGATGTGCACCATGAGGAGCACACTGTTTTTAGGCAACCTTGTCTCCCAGCCTCATTTCACTGCCAGGTGTTGGAGGTTACCCCATCTGAACCCCTCACGTGGGCACTCCCTAACTCCTCTACCAAAATAAGTCTAACTGAACTTAAACAGTATGAAAAGTACGCCTCTGCTAACCTGGCCCATTTTAACTGAAATAGGTTACAGAACGCCCACCCAAGTAGCTAATTCTGGAGCTGGGAGAAAGCAGTAATAAGCATTTGGGGGAAGGCTGGAAGCATTAACCTCTATAGCTGGCACAGCTGCAGCCAGACAAAGAAGTGATCAAGCCCTTGTTTCATAGATAAGGATAAACCAGCAGATGAACACAAACAAAATACTAAAAAATTTCATTGAAATATAAAGATCACTAATAAAAAGAAATTCAGATACGAGCCTGAAATTCCATCCTAGCTCACAGCACAATGCACAGATGTTTTGCAAAAATAAACTCGCAACATGCAAGTGCAACTCGTGAGTGCAGGACGATGATTCTTCACACTTACTCTCTTAACTAAAGAAATGTGATTATTCGTTGAGAATGTTGGTTTGAAAAAAGCAATAGATACCAAATATTCTCTCTTTTATCCCGCCATGTACATGAGGGAAAATAAATAGCACTGACCTAAATCAGACATAGGGCAAACACAAATGATGCGTGGGCTCCCAATACACATTTTTCAATGCACCTAATAACTGATTACAGCATCTCGTATTCACATGCAGCCCTTCCAGTAAGAACTGCTGCGCGGTGTCAGACTCTCTGTAGCAGATTTAGCATCTGTAAGTGGAGACAAGGATGAATCCACTAATTCTAGATTTAATTTCCCATGGGTGCTAAAAAGGAAAACTGCCTGAACTTCCTGGCAAATCACATGATGGCTTCGGGAAAGTGGAATCAAAGTGTCTGGCAGGAGAGATGTCTTGTGCCAGGATTTACCAGTGCCTCAGATGCCTGGCAGTCAGGCATACCCACGTGAGGCTATCAAGTTGGGCTTCTCCTTTCTTATCAGTGAGACTATTTCACAGCTTTTCGGATAGGGTAAAAATAACTGTCTAAACTGCAAAGGAGTAAAGAGTCAGGACCTTCAGACTCCCTCCAGAGCCACAAACAGAAACGGTGCTGCTGCTTCTCCACTACAAGACACCATTTCACACGCTGGGGTTTTGCTGTGGTACAGCAGGTCCGTAAGAGGCATGTCTGATGGAGTTGCGCTACCCTGGGAGAAATCATTTCGTAATGAAACAGAGAGCGCTGGGCAGTTATTTCCATTTGCTGAGGGTTTTGTGAGGAAAAGAGGGGAGGGTGGTTTGTTTACATGTGGGTTTTATTTTGTTCAGTTTTGCGTCCTGGATCATTAAGAGAGTAAGAAGGTAATAATCATAAAAATCTCTACCACAACTGCTGGGTACTTTGTTGTACCCTAAACTCTAATAGTCTGCCCGAGGAATTACATGCAAGTACTCAGTTTAAGTGCATTTCTGACCTAATTAAGCTAGGAAAATATAACTGACAAGAGGGCTTTCATCCTTCCTTGTACTTTCCATTTACATACCTACAATAAGAAATTATATTTATTTATAAGTATCTATGTGTTTCTGTGTCCATTTACTTTTGTCATGTGTGTGTTTGTGATGGAAACTGTACTTCACACTGGCCTGAAACAAGGGACATTAACTTTGGGTGAACCTTTGCCTTAGCTTTTACTGAGGCCAAGACAACCACCAAAAAAAAAAAAAAAAAAAAAAAAAAAATCGGGAAGGATTTATTCCTTTCATTCAAGAGTGTTTAGGAGGCTCTTTAAGCAAAACACTCACATGAGTGAACGTCTACACCAGTATTTGTTTTGTTTGCTTTCTTTTCTTCAAATGATGAGACAGATTCACCCAGTCAATTTTACACCAGACTGAGAAGCAAGTGATGGTTTAAAATACTCTTAGTAGTGACATAATTATCTTTTAAGGGTGATTATGTCTAACCAAAATCAATGGCAAAAGCCCCAGTGATTGAAAAAAGCTGTATTTGTTCACTCTCTAGTTTGTTGGAGACACAGGACTTTGCCATCAATTCTTTTCTTCATTCCTAAGGCTCCTAAAAGGCAGTGTTTGCCATGAAGTTGTTGCGTGCAGGAAGCCTGTGGTTTTCAGCCCTAAGATGTGGAGACCTTTCTCATAAAGGCACACATTTTACTGAAGGACAGACTTCATACCAGACTAATACTAAAATATGTTAAATGATAGGAACATTATGGGATCTGTGGGCAGGAATCGGCTGAGAAAGCATAACAAACATATGACCCAAGTTCATTCTTTGCTATTAGATTTTTGGATTTATATGATTAGGTTTTTTTTGCTGTTTTGATAAGACTAAGCAAATGGAAATATTATTTTTCCAGAATATTTAAAAATAATTTGTACTTATCTTTCATTGCTAGAAATAAAACACATGGAGATTTAAAAACATGAAATAAATTATGTTTTCTTTAATTAATTTTAGAAGATTCGCTGTTTTCAAAAGCAATAGTCACTTTACCTTTGTTACATTTAACTTGGCAGAATCATTTGGCATAATTAAAATTAAATTTTGTCAAAATGTATTAACCTATTGAATTAAGCATTTTTAAAATCAGCTACTAATAAGGCTTTTAAACAGTTTTCATTGTTAACAATAAAAGCACACCAGTTCACCCCATGCTTAGAAAAACTTCACACCAAAATACACTTTTGCAAGAAGAGATGCAACAGAAGAGCAGGGATGGAGATAATAGTTTGAACAGGATGTTCATCACTGGAAATGGGAATGATTGTAAGAGATTTTGCAAAATATGAAATCATCGAAGACTGCATGTCAGAATTAGTGATCTCTTCACTGAAATATTAAATAGAGCATATGTCAGTAAATCTACAGCAGGGTGAGCACAGAAGGGAACCGCAGCAGACTGAAGGTGCAGATTAAAAGCTTGTGCTATTTACTACTTCAAATCACTAAAAATGAAACGTAATGCAAGGTTTCATATATATATACTGACAAAAATATCTCCATCCACCTTATTCCATGCATGTTAGACAAGTGTGAGACGCAAGTTCACTGAATAGGAGAATAGGCAGAGACAGCCTTCATGCAGAAAGCATCAACTTTGAGTCTACAAACCTGTTCTTGTCAGGCTGGTTCCATCCAGCCTAAAACCAGCTTTATCTGCTGCTGCAACCAGTGCTTGTGCAAAACTGCCGCTGGTAAAGATCGAGTCATCTGAGGAGCTACCTACACTAGATCTATGACTAGAAAAGTTACGGTCCTCATCAGACGCAGAACCCCATCCATTTACCATTGAACCTAAAAACAAATGTAGGCGTCTAGTGAGTTGTGCACATTGGATATTTTTTGATCATCTAAACCTAAAAGACCCACTTACTATGTCCCTTTTCAATAGGAAAACCAAATTCATTTGACAGAGCTTCATACAAAAGAGCAGTACTCATCTAAAGCTTAAATACACACTTAAAAGTCCTTTCACAACAGGAAACCCAAACTTTATCTGACAGAGCTTGGTATAAAAGAACACTATCAAAACTGAGTGGGATCGCATTCATAGCTTGCTCCGTGTTGTTCTGATCCTGTAAACAAAATGGTACATAGTGTCTACAAATGTGAAGACTCTATAACAAATTATTTTGAAAACTAATAGATTCTTCCTGGGATTGAAATGAATGGGATTTGATTTTTTTTTTTTACTTCACTTATTATAAATCAGTATATGGTTTGATATTTGCAAAACAAAGTCTTAATTTAGGACAGCACAAGTGTAAGTCTCAGCAGATATGGCTCAAATCAGACATGAGCTTCAAGAGCTATCCTAAACAAGACTGGGACTATGTCATTTTCTCAATCAAAAACCTTAAAATAGATGAGCAATCTTAGTGGCCTGAAGAAAGCTGACCTGAAGCAGTTCATTCTAGAGGATTAAAGTTACAATTTTAACAGGTTAGAAATAATTAAAATTCAAAAGCAGAGCAAATATATACTGAGTCAGTCACTAAGCCAATACTGGCCTCACATTATCTTCTAGCTATGGATCACCACCACTGCAGGAGAGGAAAATGATAGTAACATCGCATAAATGTAGTCAGAAAACCATATACTGGAAAAAGCACATGAAAGATAAGCAGAAATCTTGACATGATTAAAAAGTAAAGGGCAAAATAGTGAAGGAAGGATTCATCTTGTTTGCTCTTCATTTATATTTTCTTTTACTTATTCCAATGCATGAAGCATTGAGCAGCTACCCAACGCTGTAGTACAATATATTTTCAAAAGCTATCGCTCAGTTCAGATTTTTTTCAAAGTACTGAAATTTTGTTCCTTTTGTGGCTTCAGACGGAGTTGATGGTGTTCTGTACTTCTAAAAACCTTGGGTAAATGTCACAGGGTAATTCTACACTGTGCAGTGGAGCAGGAGGCAAAGGAAACTTAGCACCAAGTACCAAGCTTTGCTCCAGGAACAGGGCAGCCACGCAAATAAATTACCAAGTCCAGCTGAGATGTAGAGCTACCAGACTGCTCTTGGGACCTGAGCTGCTGCTGCATGGTACTGCACGGTGCTGCGTGAACACAGCATAATGCTCTGAGATAGCACAGGCACCTGTCCTGACATACCTGCAATCTGCCTTTTAAAAACACTGGCACGTGTATGTCATGGGTGAAAAAAAGCCCGGTGAATCCATGAGAATATGCACAGAACTGGTTTTCAGAGATACGGAGACACAAGTGGAGTGATACATCTTGGCTCTGAGTTTACTATTCAGTTAGCACAGCTGACTTTATGTAAATGTATGTAAGATGTGTAGCAGTGTAAGTCAAGTTCTTTAAAGCCTTTTTTTAATCCATGTTTAAGAAAGTATTATTGTGTGAAAAACTTACCAATCAATGATGACCTGCTTACTAGTAACAAATTGATAGGCTAATTAACAGCAGTGTCAAATATTAAAAATATGCTGCAAAAAGAAGTAAAGACTACAAAAAATACTGGAATTTTGTCAGTAGCACACTACACCACAAAGCCCAAGAACAATGGACTATTTTGTGATGCTGCAGTGACCAAACCTTTTAATGTCAGCAAAGCGGCCGACTATAATAACAAAAGTCCATGCACTCCTAAGATACAAGAAAAGAAACTGAAGAGGTCTATGGAGGTCTGACAGGCAGAAAGTGTGTTAAGTGCAACAGAGAGTGACAGAGTTTGATTCTGCTTGCCAAGAGCACACATAAAATTGTTATTTTCCAAACAGACTCGACCTGGTGCAGACAGATGTAAGGAAGCCTAGATAACTGCAAGGGAAGGCTAAAACTGAATTTCCTCTGAGAAGACAGTTTCTGAACTAGCAGTCAAAGTGCAATAGGACATCATAGAGAAGGGGGAGTAAAAAGGCTTAGCAACAGTTATTGATGATGTTTGAAAAGAGATGCTTGAGATAAAACACTTCATGAAGATGTAAGAAAATGAAATGTTATAGCTGAAGACATTTTCAAACAATTGCTTATCGACATATTCTACAAAATATGTAAGCACAAGCTGAAACATAAAAATATGACTAGACCTACAGATATCAAAGAACGATACCCGGTGCTGAAAATTTTCCGTTTATCTTGTTACTTTCAGGGCCTGAGGGTTTTGTACTATACACTCAATTTTCTACATAGACACATATAAAAACATATACTAAACAGAATATTTATGTTTTTCAATATCATAGGTGCAAGACTAGTGATGTTTTAAAGGAACTTAAGTTTGAATTTCCATCTGCTCACATTGCTTTGCCTGTTCGCTAGCCAGTCACTCAGCTGATACACAACATCTAATACACATAATTTGGATGGGATCCTTTCAGGGTATGTCTAGGAACAGTTGCTATTTTTCAACTGCTCTTTGACGCGCTGGACTGAATGTCACCCATCCCAAAAAAATAATCTGCCTTTTAAGTATGAAATATACTAAAAATCTGCAAAAGTCCATAATGCTCCCTCCAGTATGTGTGAATACCGCTATCATTCAACACAAAGACATGCCAGGTTTTCTTAACAATAGCTAAATTTTCATTATCAGAAGTGCTTTTGTCAGACTGACAATTTTTCAGGCTGACCCCATAGGAAAGCCCTGTTCCTGAACTCCTCTGCATTCCCGTGGACAGCATGCGTTAGCAAGGCTAGGAACAGTGCACTCAGCCCACGGATCGCTTCTCCTTTCCCTCTCCTCCAACAGCTGTGTTAGGAGGGATGGCCTGTCAGGCAGGAAGCAGAGCTCAATTCTCACAGGGACGAGCTCTATTGGGCAAGGACATCAACACAGTTGACAAGCAAAGCAAACAATGACCCCACCTGGAGTACTGCATCCAGTTCTGGGGTCCCCAGCACGAGACAGACATGGACCTGTTAGAATGGGTCCAGAGGATGGCCATGAAGATGATCACAAGACTGTAACACCTCTCCTGGGAAGAAAGGCTGAGACAACTGGGGTCATTCAGCCTGCAGAAGGCTCTGGGGATACCTTATTGCAGCCTTCCAGCATATAAAGGGAGCTTTTAAGAGAGATGTAGAAAGACATTTACCAAGGCTTGTAGTGACAGGACAAGGGGCAACAGCTTTAAACTGAGAGTAGATTTTGATTGAATATAAGGAAAAAAAATTCTTGGAGAGGGTGGTTGGACACTGGAACAGGTTGCCCAGAGAAGTTGTAGATGCCCCCATCCCTGGAAGTGTTCAAGGCCAGGCTGGATGAGGCTTTGAGAAACCTGGTCTAGTGGAAGGTGTCCATGCCCATGGCGGAGGGGGTGGAACTAGATGATCTTGAAGTTCCCTTCCAACCCAAACCATTCTGTGATCCTGTGATACTCTGGTTACTGGAAGCAGAGGCAAAACTCGTCATAACTGCTGAAGTCAGCAAGCTGCCATGAGACATACACAGCACCCACAGCTGTATGTGACCAGGTGAAATCTCTACATCATGTCTATGGGTTCCTGAGCCATTCAGTTTCCCTGCATAAACAACCTTTTCCCCACCAAAACTTGCAGCAGTAAAACCCCAGCTTGCTTTGCCCTCCAGCGGTGCGGACATTGCCCAGGGGACACTGAGCTGCTGGAGCCCAGCCCGGACCCCTCAGGCCACCATGCAGCTGCGTTAACATAGCACACATGGTGACTGCCTGTTTAAAGGCATCCACTGGCCTCTTGTTTTCCAAATCAGATGCACATTTGTTTCTCTCTGAATAAAGGCAGAATAAGGGATGCTGACGTCCCTTTCAGATCAACTGTGCGTTTTGAAATGGAATGAAACAGGCTTTTAGTGTCTCCTTTACATGCAGCTCACTATGTGTTTTCCATGAGCACATCTGAGTTTTTACGCTTTCTGGCAACTGTAAATTTTACTCTTGCTGACAGAAGCAGTAAATGCTTTATGCAGAACAAAATCAACTCTGCGAAAAGTTGAACTCTGTTTTCTTGCTCCATAAAATATCTCTTGGTGCTAATGCAAAAAGAAAGCTTCTTTGCTCTCAGGGAAAGGTGAGGGGAATAGAGGTGCTAGCTTCCTGTAGACTGCAAGCTACCGCTTTTAGTGACATTTGGCAGGCAATGAAAGTGCTGTTTTTCTTTGTTAAGTGTACTCTTGCTTTACTTTAGGAAAAAAACCCAACAAACAAGCCTAATGCGCTTTTGTAGGAAAAGCTGCACACAACAAACCTAACACTTCTGAAAATTCCATTAGATACTTTTCTGTATTCACCAAACTCTACAGGCATGCTGAAAACGAACAAATTCTGTCACTGGGACTTGTATGTCCATGCTTAGGCACATTTCTGCGCAAGACCATTAAGTGCATGCTAATATTAAGCCCCTGCTTCTCCACAGGTTTTTGATGGAACAGGGTCAGACTGCTTGGTCTGGGAGGTATGGATGAAGTCCTTGGGGAGTGATGCTACTTCAGCTGCTATCAGTTATAGAAGTTCTTTAGTCTTTGTGCAGGAGAAAGATACTACCCTCTTTTGGATATACCTGACTACTGTCATGATCACACAGAAAGAATGTCCACTGATTTTAGTGAATTGATGGCTCAAAGGGGCAACAGTCATTGTACCATTAAAATAAGAAATAATAATAGAAGCGGCTGAATGCAGAATATAAAGATGCTCAAACTTTAAAAATTAGACCTGGTCTTATATTTTATACTTCATGATAAATGTCCACACATTTAAATGTATACATCTGAAATAAACTCAAGTTTTAAAACTTAAATTTAACTTTATTTTGGGGCAGGAAACAGTAAGCAAAAGGAGGTAAAAATCATACATACATATTTGGCACTTCACAGGTCCAACCATAATTAATGCCCTTCATAAACATTCAATGAAAAATGAATTTATGTCACTTAGCCAAATTTATTTGTGGTTGCATTTTCAACCTTTCTAGATTTTTTGGTTTCCATATTGCTGAAAGGCACAAAAAATTCTCAAATTTATTCAAGCTGTTAGAAAAGAAATGCACACAGAACATTAAGTAGTTGCTCAAATGTTGCTGAGCAGTAAAATACTATGATAAAGTGGCATCTTGCTGTGTCTCTATTACTTCTTCAGCACTAAAATTAATTTATGATCAGTCATCAATTCATTTACATGTTGTTTCATGCTAAATCCATCCTTGCTGATGAATGCATATCCCTAGATCCATTAAGCTAAAGTCTGTGCTTTATAATATGACCCTGCTAATTGTTGCATTACCATTTTTATGAGATACAAAAAGTAGCAGTTTCCTATTTTCTGAGCACATATTTAATCCATGAAACACAATCTTCCTATTAAATGCAATCTGTCTAACTGCTTATAAAATAGATTCTTTTGCAATAGGCATCCCTAAGCAAATCAATATAAATATTGAATTCTGCTATGGTAAAATATGGCTCGTGAAAATGATTTTGTGTAATTTTCAAGAATTATTCCATTTGTGCTCAGACACAATGAATGAACAACTTTTACCATACAGACAGTGATCAGTGATTCTTTTAATTAAGACCAAAACATGCCAAATAAGGGATTTTCTTTCTTGCTGAGCTATACAACCTACAGAGACCTTCATAATTTCAGATCTTTACAACTCTATTGAAAAAAAAGTTGTTATTCATTTGGAGTGGTACTGTTTACAAGAATATCTCTCTGCTTCTATCTGTTTGTACCAGTTAGGTAGAAAAGGGCTTGTTCTTATTTCCATGTGAGTTAATGGGTGTTTCTCTCCCCTCAGTCAAAATGCACCAGGACTGAAGATATAACAGTCCTCACTACCAGCTGGGGGAGGAGACGGTAAGGAGAGGGCAAAGAAAACTCTTAAAACATAGTACTTTGGTGTGACAAAACCTAGCGTTGTTGTCAGTGATTTCAGTGAGAAGCAAATTAATTTCTTATGCTGTCATCATATGCAATTAATTAAGTCTATTAAAGTAGAATAATATAACAGACTGTTCATGACCATTCATGCCATAACTCTGCATAGTAATTCATAATTAAAGCAAACATTAAACTAAGTGAAAGAAAAACTATATTTCAATGTGTCTCTGAAAGCAAAAATAACCTTAAATAATTGTGATATAGAAGTCAAGTGAGCAGAAGTTTTACAGCTGCTTTTCAGTTCTTTCTTCTTCTTTTTTAAATCACAATCCTTAACTCACTATCATAACAAAGCTTGCTGGGAATGAAGCAAAACTTTGGCTTTAATTTCATTTTTCATCTCACAAATGTTCAAATCTAAGTCTCCCTCCTTGAGTTTTCTTTGCAATACCTAGAAAATGTTAAGATATAGTTACTGTGTGCTCCTCCTTTCTTTTCACTTTATTACACATGTCAACATTATGTCTTTGCCACCTGCAAAGAGAAAAGTTTAATAGCGCAGATTAAATCCCTGTCTGAATCTTCAGTTAGCTGTAACTAAAACTCAAGAGCCTGGAAGACAACCTGACTTTTAAACAGTTCAAGGAGGCAACACTGTGGTTTCAGAGGAATTTAGCAGTTTGAGCTTGGCTCACGCAGCACAAGTGTTTCCCCTCAGAGAATCCCACATTTCCTGTGGGATGAAAACCCTGGTGTCAGCTCAGCCATAAAGAACAAAGTACCATTTCACGCCATGAGTGGGTATCTTCAAGTCATCACTGAGGCATGCCAACAGGACAAGGTGAGGAAACTTGCCCTGCTTACTGTACACCAACTCTATTCGGAGGAAATCTGGACTGAGGAATGTAAATTTAGATTTCTCAATAACACTGAACTGAAAGGGTGTGCTTCAAAATGAACAGAAATATTGCTTCATCTTGGTCAGGTTTTCTCATTTGCCTCTATCTTTTAATATAATGTCTAAAGAAGTTAAGACATGGCATATAAATTCCTAAAAAAAAATACTGGTTTAAGTCAACAAGAGTCCTGTGAAAAGAAGCAGCTTATATATTTTCAGTGCAAGAAAGAACAATTTAGTTGTCTACAACTAAAAAAACAATCGAATTAAAGAATAAGAAACAGCTTAGAAACAATGAGTGCCATTTGTTATACACACTCCTTAACACCAGTAAACGCAGCGTGGAAGAGTTAACAGAAACAGATACACAAAAATTAAAATTCTTTTTTGAAACAATTCTCCCAACTATAATAAGCAATTTTCTTCTACCCCTGGAAAAAAACCAAACCCAAAACAAGCCCTCAGAAAATTAAAGATTTACCTATATAGTAACTGAGGAAAACAGAAGTAGTTTTGTTATTCAGAGAGTTTGTAATTTTGCAGACAATTTAGACCAACAGTCTGCTGTATTTTTGTAAGGCTATAGTTCCATAATTGTTTTAAGTCAATTTAAGTGTTGGCTATAACCTATAGGGGCAGCCTGTCATTTTGCTTCCCTTCCAGCTGCACGTTCCCTTCCTGCGGTGCTGGCAAACACCTTGCCATGTGAAAAACCAGATCAAGGAACAGATTCAACTAATTAAACAAGAGAAATCAAAAGAAAAAACATAATTTTCAGCTGGATGAGGCCACATCAAGATAGTGGTGGAAATGAGTGCATCTAGGTCACCTTAAGTACACTCCCAGTCTACATTAACAGGTTCTGCCCAACTTCCTAAAAAAAAAAAAAATTAAAAAAAAAAATATATATACACCATGAAGGTTTTAATGGTCCAATAATTAACTAAGATTCATAATTATATGAATAAGCTTGAATATTATTCATAAAATGAAAAATTCTAATAAGCACAGGAGTCTACGAATTGGAGCAAATAGTTATTCCTTACTTTGAGCTAGGCAAGGTGGCCCAAAATATTAGGTGAAAATGCAAATGTGAAAAACATTAATTTTCTGATTTACTGATATATCGACAGTGACATATTCATACATACCAAATGGAAAACATACAGCAACCTGTTTATTTATTTATTTATGTATTACCGATGCAACCCCCTTACTGCATTCCTAATGGAAAGGCTTCTAAGCCATTAGTGAGATATGCAAAATTATGCAGAATTACAGCCTGAAGAAGATTACACTAGAAATTCAAGCAAAATGACTTAACATACTCATGCACTAATAATTTAACTTCTCAATTCAGGGATTTAAACTTTACGGCCTTCAGTTGGACTGGATTTCAAATCACAGCAGCAGAGTTAAAATTCTTAAATCTTAATTAGATTGGCAAGCAATCTGGTCCTAAGGTGAAGGAAAACCTGGAAAGTGGAATTAAGCTACACACTATTTAATTCAGCAAGGGAAAAGGAAGAACATTATAGGTAGTGATGCTCCATCACTGTCATATTCCTGCAGTGTTTTCAGAATAACAGTGTTTAGGTAACGGTGCAAAATCCTTGGAATTTCAACAGTCCAGAACACTGACAGGAAATTCAGCGGTGCTATGGCAGTAAGTTGTACTGAGCAAGCCTATTTCAAAGTACAATTAACAACCAGCGTTCCTCCACAGACATCAAAGACTGAGGAAGCAACCACTAGCTTTTGTAAACTATGGACACTACGTACATTCGTGTCTCCAATACAGCTGTATGTTATGGATACATTATAGTGTACATAGAGGCCCAAGTTTAACCTAAATGGAAATATGCTGATGCCTACAAAAAGTTCATTAGGTCCATATAAGAGGTGTTTTTCAAAAAGTACCTTTCACTGCTTACATTTCATCAACAGCAATTTTATTCATCCGTATTCTGTGCATTAGTTTAGCATGCCTTTCTAGGTTCCCTTCGATGATTCCTGTTCTAACTTGCTAAGGCATGCAACAGGTGAGAAGCAGTGAAGGAAGAAATGTCAGAATAATTGTCTTCACTGAAAAGGAACAATTACTAAATTCAGCAATAAAAAGTAGGTTCAAAATACACATTTTCCTACATAAATGTTGTATTTACCCTACAAATAAATTCTGTGCTGATCTAACTACACTTATTTTGAAGTCTTTTAACTTCTCTGTGTTCATCTGTGAAAGCTATGAAAGCTTTAAGGTAACATTTTTATGCTACTCCTGATTTATGAAATATATATTCCTAAGCTAAGGTCTTACCCCTCCTTTTTATGTAACTGGCTTGCTCCTCCAGTAGAGTGAACTTTTCATGAAAGCTAGGATATAATTGAGTTTTCTTTCAAGTCTTTCAAGCTTTTTAAAATTCATGAATTTTCTTATCATTTTGCAGCAAAGCAAAGTATTTTCAAATCCTTCTTTAACTTTAGTGTTTAATATTAACACATTTTAAATGTTACAGAAATAGAGTGGAATAAATTTTCACTTAGAAAGTGTTTGATGGATGATGTATTTTCAAGTTGGGAACAAGTTAGTGTCACTGTTAACTGTGTTTGGTTACCTGTCACAGAGCTGTCTAGATTGTCCATACTGGAGCCTGGGGTATGCTCTAGACCTCTTAGCGGCCTACTGATTTCTACAGTTTCTTCTTCAATATCATCATCATCTTCATCATCATCATCATCTGGAACATCTGTTTCCAAATCTGAAATAAGGTTTCCAGATACATATCCTAGGGGTGGAACTGGAGCCTGAGGAGGTTGTGTATTGCTTTGGATGTGCCTACACAAACAAACAGGAAAATGTTATCAGAATGGATGAGACTTTGTACCCCATGGTCAATAGAAGATAAGCCTTTCTGTAAGTCCCGAAGTAGATTTACAACACGTGCTTGTTAGGTCAAACTCAAGAAAAGTCAGTTCAGTTATTCACCATAGCTTCTGTTACCAGAGTACCTGTGCACCTTCTATTGTTAAATATACTACTCCTCCTGTAAGATGGCGAAGGTCAAGGTTGTCCTTTTACAGATGCAGAAAAACGTACACAGAGGCGACATAAATCAAGTAGGAAGTCCATGGAAATGCACAATTCTGAATCCCAACCTAATGTATAGGTGTCTCACCCAATATTCCACCTTGCAAACCATACGTTGAGCCAAAATTAAACTTCACTCCTGCTTAAACAGACTGATTGCCCTTAAGCAGAACTCACTCTAAAGAGAAGGAAATGATCAGGAGGAATAAGAAATTTCTAAGTCCAACAAATCCATTATCAGTGTGGTCTTTTTATTTTGCTATATTCCAAATAGTTTAATTGATTTAACTGCAGCAGTATTAGGGCATGGATGTGTGAAATTACTGTATGAAGCCATCACAATTAAAAAAAAGAAAAACAAAGATAAAACCCACCCACAGAATAGCTAAATGGCCAAAGGCAAGCAAGGGGCTTGGGGTTTCATTTCGCTGGTCTCCGGGAGACCGGAGAGGAAAAGAACAGCCATCAGCTTTCAATGCAGCATTCTGCACAGCACTACAGGTACACAGCAAGCTGTGCCAGGGCACCCAGGCATGACTGGCCTTGGCATAAGAGCATGCACCATGCTTGAAATTGCAAACTTAGGCACGTGGGAATCCTTGGGTGGCTGTTCACGAGGTGCTGGGAACTGATTTGAATCGGCAGCGCACTGGATGGGATCCAGGATTCTGCTGGTCTCTTGCTTGGACATCAGCATGACAGAAAAAATTAAAACTGTCACCTGTTTGGTTTCCTAGAGCTGATACATTTTTGGTTAAAGCTGTGTGCTGTATTATGGCCTATACTTGATAAGTGCAGTAATTCTCTTTATTCAAACAGCTTTTTCTTCATAATATAAACCCATTGGATCTGAGAATGTCATGATAAATGCTACATACCACTGGAACCTCTCTCCACCTTGATGTAGATTTTAAATTATTGCCTATTCTGAAGCTTATTTGCAGAGCAAACACTTTCCTTCTGATATACAACCCCCTTCTGATTAGGAATTCTTGAATATTTTCTGTCTGGACAGCAGGTTCTCAGCTACGCAGTGTTCAAAACACTGTGCTAAAGGGCACTACCATCTAACTAACCCTCAATAAACAGTGCGATTAGCTCCCAATCAAACAAAATACTTAAGTATATTCTTAATGTTGAGCGTGTGATAGAACAATTGAAGTCAATTTCTCATGTACTTGTAGTAAAGCATATACTTAAGTGATTTTCTGGATCAAGGCCATAATGATTATGTGCTTTTCCAGTAATCTCTAATGTGCTGTTTCTGAAACTTCTAGTTGTCTGGTCTCTACGTTTCTCTACTATTATTCCTACAGTAACCTATCAGACAGGTCTCATCTTGTTTTGTTTGCTCCCCCTCTACACTGGACAGGTTAACTTTGTGAAAAGAAAACTAAGAATTCTTTCTGCCCACTTAAGACAACGGAGGACTTTCCACCAAACATTATGAAGTATTAAATTATTCCATGTCACAACAACTGCAAAAATAATTTGTATTTGCAACTCACAATATTTACCCTAATACCTGCTACAAGGTCTTAGTATGAAAAGACACTTTAACTTCTCTATGTATTTTTCAGAATTCATGGTGAATTTCTGTGACGTTACACAAGAGCGACATTAAAATCTGTATATTCCTAAGCACGTTATGAAAGTTCCCAATCATTTGTCATTTCTCCAAAAAGGGAGCAAGACCTTTCCTGACAGCTGCAAGAGGCTTTGCTACAGAGTCCTACTCCGTTGTCCACCCCCAGATGGGCACCCGTGGTTTGTAGGGCGTAGAAAGGGTAACAGCTGCAAAACGCCGCAGCGACTGACTATACAGACAGGGTATGCATCTGTGTGCTGGCGCAGGAGTCTGCTCCCTTCAACAGGCCAGGTCTAGCTGCTGCCTGGGATTTGGGCCTCTCCCACAGGCAGGCCGTGGTCTACGCTTGGCAGTGTGGCACCGCAGAGGGACCAAAGTACCCTGTTGATTGAGTGCAGATTGCAGACAAGGCTCGAGGCTTCCACGGTGCCCAGGGAAAACAGCTGGCTTTGATTTGGCACCACCTGCCTACCTGCCTGATCTATTTATGGCAGCTCGAGCTGAATAACTTTGTGGCTTTATTTACCAGCGAAGAAAGGCTGCTTCTCCGCTGGCAGTGCGCCATTCAGTAATGAGCTCTGCTCCTCTCCTCTGAGATTCACAGGCTTTGTCTGGATAGAAAAGTTGTAAAAGGACAACTGCCGCTTAGGGAGCATCCAGAAAGCAACTGACCTTCACCGTATCCCCAGCCTGGTGCAGTTGACAAGTTCTTTTTCAGTCCCTGAAGAGACTGCTTCGGTTTGTTTTGCAGGGGAAATGTTACTGTGGTATTTGCTTGCTCTTCCTTTAAATAAGCATAAAGCACTCTAAAATGCTAGATCCATTTTGTAAATTCTAACAACTTCCTTCCTGCTATTTCTGGGCTTTTCCCTATGAATCAAAAATTTTCATGGTATTTCAAACTACAGTCAGAGATACAAATGCATCATTCTCATGTGACACATGGTAAAAGCTGCTGCATTGCTATTTCAGGTGACTGGCATTATTTTTAATCAGGAATTTAGAATTTCAATATTTTTGAAAATCCTAAAAAAAATCTATCTTTTGCTAGCCTGAAAAGGAGTAATCTGAAGTGTATAAAAATTGTCAGTCGGTGGCTGTTAATTACTTAGTTGAATATATGTAGAACTGCAGAGGCATATTGGTCTTATGTGGTTTTAGACAAGATTTAACACATTACAGAACATTATGTTTTAAAAAGCACCTAACAATTTTTAAGGTCTTCACACTCTAGGTATAGTTTTGCTATTTCTTCTTCCATTTTACTGCTTTGGAAACATTACTGAAATGTTGAACACAGTCAATATTTATGTTATCAAGGAATAAATTATTATCATGCTTTACTTTTCTAGACCACAGGTGCCCCCTTCAAATATTTACCATGTCTGCTTTGCTATATCGAACTGGTACGCCCTAGTTAATTCATCAAGGTGGGCTTGAAGCATGGGCTGCATTTCTTCTCGTGGAGAAGGCGTGAGGGTTGCAGTTGACTGTTGCCCAAATGAGATTGCAGGTGACGAAGCTACTCCTCGGACAGGAGGTGTGGGAACACGATCATCGTCTTCTTCAAGCTCATCCTCCATGCCCTGATGCAGATAGGTCTGAACTGGCAAAGGCGGACACCAACCATCACTGTCATATCTAAAATAAAAACCAAGTAAACTTAGTATATACCAACTCTCATCTCTGATGTGCAGTAGAGGGTATACAGGATTTCTGCTGCAGTTTGAATTCTCACATGCAGTGTGAGCTTTAACATTTATTGAAAATAGGGTCATAGTTGCTTAAATTCTCCTTACTGAGTCTTTTTAATTTTTCCCACGAGTGCTAAGCAACTTGAACAAGATGTGCAACCAAAAAAAAATTACCGATCCACCATCTCATTTTTTAATGACGTTACGCCATAATCAACAATGCAAATGAACTAACTCACTTCCTGGATCATTCACTTAGGGGAATGCATGAAGGCTGACCTAAACATGAAAATAGCAGCATTCTTAAAAGGCAAAGCACGCTTTAAGCAGTTGCACTCATGCACTTCTTTACCCTCACCCTCCCATTTATTTGTCTATAAATTAACTATTTCTTTTTATTTTGCAGCTTAAACAAAAAGCTTCACTTTCCACATAAATCCTGGTCTTACCACACTGCATATAGGTAGGTACTGTGATGTGTAATACATTCATGTCACAGCAGCACTGACCCTAGGCATATGTCATGTCACAGCACCAGCTGATAGGATACATTAGCACACATGTTGACAGCTCTGCCAGCACCCCACCTTCTAACCAATCTTTACTGGGACTTACCTAGACAGTGCTAAATTTTGGAACACTTTTAACACACCTGCCTGAAGTAAATTAAAAGATAAACCATCAATAATCTTCAATACCAAATTCTTCTCTCTTCACATATAAGAGATGTTCTGGTAAGCTTTGTGATTCAATTTTTAGTCTTGTACCAAAGTTGTAAGAGGTGATGCTACATCTGATCAGGGCTAGAAACAGAAGGTTATATTCTACTACCACTTCTTACGTAAGCTTTTCCAGCAATTCAATGCTTTTCTTTCTCTGTTCTCATCACAGACCTTTCAGTTCAGTGTGTATTATAGTATCATCCCAGGACTCTGTCCCTTAGAGACACCAGCATCACCCAAGACACATAGGTCCTAGTGCCTGTGGTCATTCCCTGTGCATTGTCTATCCAGGATAATTCCCTAATCTGAACACCTCTTCACTTGTGCAGAGCTCTGTTGACAATCATACTGCTCAGATCTCAACACTGTCTACTCCTCCTATCTTCAAAGCATCCATTCAGTCAGCAGTCTCTTGACCATCTACACACATTCCTTCTTAACTCCCAACGTATTCCAAAATACCTCAGGTTAGACAGTTCTTTTCAAAAGACGACCAGACAACCAAAAGTTCTCAGAGCTCCTTCACAGTCTTACACTCTGAAGGCCAATCCCCAAGCATCATCTAAGTCACTTCATCTTCTGTCCACCTTCAGGGACTGCTACCAAGGCACACCCCTTGTGTCTGCAATGCAGGCAGGCAACACGTTGCTTTATACAAACAATTTCTCAAACCAGTTTAAAAATACTCCTTAAGGCTCCTGATTTGGAAGGAAGGAATTACCAATTTCCTAGAGAAAAATGAATCACTGACAATTTTCTCAAGTGTGCAGCTGGATTACGAAATGCCGGGAACACTGAGTCAGAAGTTTCAAAACCTGTATTATTAACAAAACATTTACTTTTAGCAAAACCCAAGGATTTCAGTAATTAGCTAAACTACTTTTTCCTTACTCAAAAGTCTGTAGTCTGCATTTAAAAGTACAGATTCAGGATAGCTAAACCAACCTGACCTAATCATCCAAAAATCCGTGGAAGACTTATCTTGTAATTAAGGCCAGTATCATGTTAAATCTACATCTAGATATAACCATATATAGACACACAAACACACATTCCTGTACAGAGGTGCAAATAAAATGCTGCATCTTAACACTTGGCATTTAAGGGCTTTTGAGTGAATGATCATTACCAGTTTCATAACACAGAGATTTAAGATGATACATATTCAATTCCTTAGGAGACAATTAGGATATGACTAGGTCTAATTTGTCTTTCCTTGCAATATTCACTCATGACATCACCACCCAAGGGTGAAGGGACCATCCTAACTCATGCTGCTAAAAATGTACAGAGCCACAGTTCTGTCACTTACTTTTACTGTCTCAACCTCATGCTTTGGCATAATGGCTTCTGCTTTAAAAGGGACAGAGAAGAAAGATACTCCTTAGTGACTTTTCAGTAATGCATAAATGAGCTTTGGATGTGCTCGCCTTTTGACCCTACTTGCTTCAAATCCCCAAATGTTCAGCATGATAGTAAAAAGATTTCTTAATAAAAAAGATTTCTGAGTAAAGAGATTCTGCACAAGTCCCGTATCTTTACCTAGATTTTGTTTGAAATGGAAAGGAGTCTAAGCCTGAAGTTCAGGACACTGAGATGCAAGATTTCATGAACAAGAACATTTGTCTTCATAATGTAAGATGTCCGAAAAGCCACCAGTTCTAACCTGCATTTAAAAAAAAAAAAAAAAAAAAATCCGCAAGAAACAGCTACCAAACCTAACAGACTACATAGTAACCATACCTCGCATACATGATACAGTTACTGAAGCTTCTGGAACCAGCATGGTCAATACTGACCACGTGAATATTATTCTTTTTGGTTTTCTGAGTAAATACAACTTGTTGAAAATGCATGCAACCTTTTTCAAGTACTTCTTACGAAAATCTAAGCACCTTAACTTCATTAGAGATCTCTGATTGTAATTTCACAATACTTAAGTCCCTAAATAAATTTTGATCAACAAACATGACTCTATGTTTCTAATAATTTTATTCTATTCTCAACACTTTTATTCTATTCTCAGCAGTACTATTTTGCTGTTAAAAATCTTGGTTCATTACACTGATAGATTTTTTTTTTTCTTAAAAAAAACCCCAAAAAACCAAGTGATAGATAAGGAGCACATTCTGTAACACTTTGCTTCATTACAGAAACTGTTGCAACAAAGAAAGCTTCCCCCTTTAGGTCTTGTCAGAAAGGAATTTTTGGATGTAAAATGTATTACCTTCTTTACTTTTTCTAAAACCAGAAAATAACTGTCAAATATATTGACATCCAGCAGCTAATATTCCATTTTAAGGTGGAATCAACAGTAAGAAATAAACACAACCAATGATAACAATATGAAGACTGCCTTTACTGGGGTTGGCTCGAGATTATGCTTATCCTTAGTGATAAAATATAAGTAGATGAAAATTAATAAGTATTTAGCATTTCCTTACTGCCAAGTTCATTAGATAAACCCAAGCAAAAAGATATTCTCTGAAAAGGGAAGGAAAGGTAACATGCTTGATTGGAAGCTGCTACAGGAAAAGAGAAACTTCAAATACTCTGCGGTATATGTAATTGAAAATTAAGGAAAACAACAATGAACAAGCACAGAGTTTGTAGAAGACCACAAAAAAGGGGAGTGTTTCACAGGAAGGACCTTGCTGGGGAAACAACAGTATAAAGAGACTTTCTGCACAGGTTAAATAGTAATTTAAGACAGCCCAAAATCTGCCACATTATATGAATTGGCTACGCAGATTAATATGTTCACCTTTCCTTATGTTTGCTTCAGTTCATGGAAAAATGGAGGTGAAGAGAAACCTTGGTTCTTCTGGGGAGAAGACATAGAGAGAACTAAAAGTGTATTTTTTTTCATCTTTAGCTATGATTAAGTCAGAAGACTTTTTTTCACTTGTTGCTATGGTGGATTTACTTTTACAATTTATAAGCTAATAGGCCATGAGTGTTAATTTCTAGTAAGCAAAATAAGGTGTCAAAATTGTTTAGTTTATTTGGGATAATCATGTCAATGAAACTCACACTTGAATTCAAGAGCTATAGGAAGACATGCAGAGACAAATCTCTCTTTAGATACTAGCTTCCTTATTTTATTGCTGTAAACATTCACCTTTCATATCACACTGTGAGAATCTTAATAAAGCTTTCAGTTTTTCTGACTGGAAGATAATTTTTCAGATGTAATTCACATCATAATTACATCTGTAAGTAACCAATTCTAAAATTGAAACACGCTGAACTTGTCATCATAGAACACATCAAAGCAAATCAAGAAAAACAGACTCATTTTTAAAAAGTGCTTGTTTTTCTTGGTGGGGTATTTTTTGGCCTTTTTTTTTTTTTTTTTTACCCAATATGTCACTATTATAAAGGCAATATAAGAAATGTAGTCTATGATTCATTCCATTTTGGGATGTTGAAAACCACTGAAAACAAGATCAACCCCTGAGTACAGAATGACCATTAGTATCGGATACATCCTCAGGAAGTATAGGGATTGCAGATTCACTGGGTTCAGCAAAGTTGGTTGCAAATTACTGTAGCTCAAGACTGATACCATAAATCTAATCTTCACATTTTTGTGTGTTTGGTAAAATGCACATTAGAAGGTCTTGTTAAAACGATTAATGATATTAATGAGATATTACAAAATCCAGAAAAGAGTAATTCAAAAGCTAATCAGAGGAAAAACTAAATCTGCATTGTTGGGAACCTGGAAGGCTGCTGATTACCTTATCCTTAAATAACCACTGTTGCTTTGGTGACCAACATTGTTCCTTCCAGCTCAATAACAGATAACTTTATGCAACTGAGGAGTCAAGTCCTGTGTCACAAGGGATTTCTCTAGAAGGTATTTCCATTTACCTTTTATGCTATTTCATTGTCCTGAAAGAAAATCCAAGTTGTTCGCGTTCTATAGCATAATTATTTTAGTGAAATGGCTGCACCTACGTTTTAAGAATATAAACTGACAAAGACAAATATTATATGGCAAAACCATCTTAAATTTATTTTAGTTTTTTGTAACAGAATACAGAGCATAATCATTATATGCACTTCTTGTCTTGAGTTTTAAACAACACTTACAATCAGTAAACTTAATAATTTTCCCTTGCTTTTGCTCTGAACTTCTAACTCTAATATAGACTGAATGGACCTTCATTTTAAAAGTAATTTCACTCACACAGGTAAAGAACTTGGTATAAACTCAAATATTAATATTTAATTCTTCTTTCATTATAAAAGTAGGAATGATCAAATCATACTTACAGAAGAGAGAACACTTGAAATATTTTTATTCAGTAAAGCTATTATTTGTAAAACACGTTTCATCCTTAGAAAATATTGATTAGTCCATGTATTTAAACAGGCAGAAATTAGTCCCCAACAGAACAGTGATTCTCAAAGGCTCCAACAGACCTGATCACAGAAAATTATTTTTCTATACTTCCTGATTTTCCTCCAGAGTTTCATAACCTGGTATTTCATTTAATTTCACTTTTTAAAAAGTATTCCATAATTAGTATTTGTGCAGGAAATGTCTCTTTCATTTAGTGTGTTTGGTGTGATTTCGTGTCTTTGAGAACAAGTTTAAGATATCCAATAGCAAGTGGAAGGTTCCAGAAACTCAAGAGTTGTTCAAATAATAAGAATAAAAGGCCTATAAATAGCATGCCTTCCTCAACTGTGAAATTTCTTCTAAAAGCCAATGAGAAGATTATTATCCACTGGTTGATCTTCTAAAATTAATCCAATTTAGTGTGAGCTTTTTTGTTCTGTTGGCTCTAGTATTTTTAAACAGCATGGCAGTGAAAAAATACAAGGAGCCAGATTATGTCATCCTTACTCACACTGAGTCCCATCATTTGCAAGCAGTCCCAACAGAATCCAATTAAGCTACCTATGAAGTGAGATACTATCAGCATGAGTAAGCAGAGAAGCCCTACATGATGATGGAACAAGGTCACTTTTATTTCCAACTTCAGTCACTATCAAGAGAAGCTATTTAAACATTCCTCCTCCATAGTCTTGAATAAATCTATAGGATAAAACACTCAGTCTTTATTTAACCAAAACAGAATATTATTGTCACTTAGCAAAATTTTTTTCTCATCTCTGCAAACCACAGATTCTTCTTCAAAAGAAAAAAAAAAAAAATTACCCTGCTTCTTGCTGATCCACCCCGTAGTGTTCCAGCTCTGTGCCTGGAAGTGGCTGCACAGGAGGGGGTGGGAGGGGAACACTGGCCCAGTTTGAACCATTATTTTTCTGGGGCTTGGCAGTATTTTTGTTTTTCTTCTTTTTCCCTCCTTTGCCACCTGCAAATCCCAAAAGAAAAATAAAATGTTAGAGATATAATGTA